CTTCTCCAGGGACGGGCGCCAGCTCACCGCCAGGCCGGCCTTTAGCCGGGTCCCTCCCTGCAGACTCGCCAGTGCCAAAGGCGCAGTGGGTGCTCCATCAACGCTGCTGGGTGATGAGTGGCCACTGACCGAGGTGCCCAGCCAGCTTACCGGGACCGGGACCGGGACCGGGACGCCAGGGCACGAGGCCCGCTGTGTGCCACCCACAGGGACATGCCAGAACCGCCAATGCCCGCCGGAGACTCGCTCTCCTGGCTCTGCCCACGGGTAAGGCAAGTGGGGGCGTCACCGTCCAGCAGCCGTCCTTAGTGGTGACAGACAGGATGGTGGACAGACGCCACGGGGCTCCTCCACCCCCACACCCCCCAGTGGGGGTGAGCTCAGCACCGAGGGGATAACGAGATGAGAACATAACCTCTATTTCCTCCTTCCCTTTCTTGTCTCGATTCGTGCCTGTCCGCTCCCCCACCCCCCGTATTATTTTGGGGTCACCCCAGTGCACTGCTCAGATGCATCCTTGTCTCGGTCGGCTTCCCGGACCCCTGCCTCCAGCAAAGCCACCCTGGGCCTCCTGCCTGGAGAGAGCACAAGCGGAGGGTAGGTGCCCCGAGCCCTCAGGGAATTTGTTCCAACCGGTGGCTGTGGCCTCGCTTGTGGCCTGGAGGGAATGCAGTGCTGACCTCGGCCAGCAGAGGGCAGAGGTTCACTTGGCCAGGAGGCCTGGCTGGAGCCGGGAGCCCTGGGTGGGGAGTGCGGGGAGGACCACAGGAGGCGGAGGCCACGGGTGTCACCAAGATCCAGGTCCCCCCGAGCCCCCAGGGGAGCAGCAGCGGGCGAAGTGGGAGAAGGGGGGGCGTGGGGACAGGGAAGGGCCAGGACACCAGGAAGGAAGGCGCCCGGCCCCGCACAGCTGCACGCAGGCAGATAAATGGGCTCGGCGCGTGTAACGTTGTGCGATGTGTCACGGCACACTGGCTGCCCGCGGGGAGGCGAGGCCGGCCCACCGTTTATCACCGCGGCCCAGGCTCTCCCCCCTTAGAACACTCTCTGCTTCAGCGCCCACACGCAGGGGGCACGGAACCACACCAGCGACACCCCTGCCTCCGCCGCTGGTCCCAGGGGCTTGGCTTCTGCGTCCTCATCTCTGTGTCAGCTGCCATCACCCCCTCTCACCCTCCGAGGCCAGGAGCGCAGAGGCGGCCACCCTCCGAGGAGTCTGCAGCCCCCTCCATCTGGGCTTCTCCAAGGCCAGCACGGAGCCGGGGGGAGGCCAAGAAGGTGCTGGGCAGCGGCCGTGGGCCCAGGGGCCTCGGGCAGCAGACGCGGACCTGTGCCCAGTGCTGCCATGAGCGAGGCCCGCCGACGTGTGACAGGACGGAGCGGGTCTTGCAAAGCTCCTTTCTCTGCAGCCCCCCGTGCCCTCACCCCTCCTTCAAAACCTCTGTACTTGTGTGATGACCGTCAGCCGGGTGCCCGATGTGGCTCACCCCGCGGGGCGGCCCGTCGGCCTCGGAGGAGGCGTGTTCCGAGGGTGGCCTCCAGCCGTCCGTGCACGATGACTTGTTCTGGGGCCCTGGGCAGCCCCTCCTGGGGCAGAGCTGTGTGTCCACTGTGGGCTTGGCCGCCACGCACGCTCCGTGCCCCATGCTGCCTTTGCCAAAAGCAAAGATGACGAGGGATCCACACACAGGAGAGGTGGGTCTGGACAAAAACGGGGCTCGTGCAGCCTGTGCCCGGGCCCCCCGATCCGAGCACAGAGGCTCGCTGAGCTGAAGGGCCTCAGAGAGGGGACCGGGACCGCTGACCAGTGCGCAGGCACCCAGCCTTCAGGTGGGGGGGGGCAGC